CGGTTTTTTAGGAGCTTCAGGAGCAGTACCATCTTGCACGTATAAGCTTGTAGTTCAACACTGAAGAGATATTTAATTCTGTGCCTAAATGTCAATGTGATTGTGGGCAAGAGAGAGGGATGCTGAGCTTGTCCCTGAATTGAACCTATTGAAAAACCTGTCCAGACTTTCAATTGTCTCATCATCCTTCTACTTGAAGCCTGTGATCTCCTTCATCCTTGACCGCACATCTCTGATATTGTTTTGCTGGAGATTGCTTACCAGCCTCTTCCTGTGTGCCTCCTTGATCTCTCTTAGAACAAGGAGGTGCTCTCTAAAAAAATAATTTTTATTATCAGTAAGCAGTAACGGGCAAAATCAGTAGAAGAAAAAAAGCACACCCTTTCTTAAGCTGTGGTCCACCCCAGTATCTATTTTAAATATCAAAGGAACATTTTCAGTGTCACAGTCCTGTTATCTGGGCTTGCAGGGCTAGTTACTTTACTTATTGATAGTAAGTTGTTTCCTGGGGTTCACTGACAACTTAAGTAAGGCAAACACAAGCCCAATCTCCTTTTTTGTTACAGTTTTTGCAAAGGTTTTAGCAGCTGGATACTTGTTTTCATCATAATGCTACGTGCTACCATACCATAATTTGGGGCATCACCTTGAGCATGCAAAAGTGCTATTAGTGTAGGATGTTCCAACCCTCTTCAACTGAGATGTAGCCACATGCATCTCCACTGGGAGTTCCCTCATTTGTGGCTAATCTGCTTGGCCACCCCTCCTATTATCATACCTGTCGTATGACCTGACCCAGCAACAAGTCTACTATGAATTGGAATTTCTAAGACAACCAATTGACCGTATGACCAAAGCAATCACAACTGTGTCCACCCATTTTGTCTCTGAAATCACAATTCTCTGCCATTTCCTATAAGCTCTATCTGGTCATCTTGACGCAAGCAAATCGTTGCTACCACCCCTGTTATTCTCTTGGCTGATTAAAGCTGTGCTACGCTTCTGACATCATTTGATGTTGCCTTGACATGAAAATTATTGACCACCACGAATCATGTTTGATGAGCAGAAATTGATTTTATATTTTCTAGTCTCCAGCCAAACAAGTGTTTGAAAATACATTAATCATTCATTACAAGCAGCTCTACCTTTGGCAGTGATGGTTTGATTAGGGAGTGACAATTAATTAAATTACTTTTTTTTAGAATAGGAAGTGAAAATAAATAATGGCCTTCTCTATTATAAAACTAAATAAAAAATTGTAAAAACAATTCTGCATCTTCTATCCAGTCTAGTATAATAATTTGACATCAGTTTAATTTAGTCTCTCACGTAACCTAAAAGCTATTGGAAAAAAAAATTAATTTAAAATGAATCAAACTTGGAGAAAATGCAGTGTGCTTTGTTTTTCTAGTATAATATAATGCCATTTATTTTGTGTAAATGGATCACAATACATGAAACTTTTTTTTTTTTTGTTTATAAAGAGTTTATAGTTTTGGTATTTCTTTATATGTAAACCAGGTAATATAATTCTGTACTTTCTTGCAAATGCTTCCTTCTTTTTTTTCTCTGCATAAAAATAAAGGCAAAGCTTTCACTGCATGACTCAGTTGAGTGATTAAGGCTTATTGCTGGGGTGACATTCTTTAGAACAGCAACTGAAGGAAGCCAGCTGGCCTTATAGACATGGATGAATGACACATGAAAAAACGCCTTTATTCCCACTGTCGGATGAGACTTTAAAAGCTCTTAGTCTACTGACTTGCAGGGAAACGTGAGATGAACTTGACCCTCACTTCTTTGCTATTTAAAGTGGGGAGGGTATGGTGATGATTTGATACATGGGAAGAACATTATGACATTCACACATTATCTAGGAAGGAAATTTACAAAAGGGTGTTGAATTGCTCAGAGTCCTTCAGTATGACAAGACAGGATTCACAAAGTTTTCTTTAGGGAACGAGGGTGTATTTGTCATGATCTGGCCTGTTTGCTCTCCCTTAATTATTCATTCCTTTCACCTGTCGTTTTTCCCTCCCTGCCTCAATTATAATTTATTCCTCTCACCTGTTTCCTGTTGGTTATTTTCAGTTCAGCCTGAGCATTCAGTGCCAGATCATTACTTGTCTTTTTGTCAGCCTGTCTGTTAGTTTTGTTCCTTGGTTCGTGTCCTGGATCCTAGCAGCCAGTGGAAAGAGGGTTTTGTGTTTGTCTGGTCTCCTGATCGTCCACTGTTCCTCCCCCGCTGAGTCCTCTGGGTTTTTGGCTCAATATGTGGGGAGGTTCAGTTTTTATCCAGTAAGCCTGGCTCCAGGGAGGAGACCAGTTTAAAGTCCTGCTTCAAGTTCCGGTTCTACGTCCTGTCTCGGCTATCCTCTTCCACTGAGCCTGCCTGTCTGAGCCTGCCTGTCTGCACCTGATCCTGTCTGCTCCTGTGCGTGACCACCTGGTCATGCTTCTGGTCCCAGTCAGACTCGGAACCCTCCTGTGAGCCTGTGCATGCCTGGAAGTCTGGATCCTGCCACCTGTTTCTGTTCCTGCCTGATCTGGATCCTGCCTGTTGTGTCTGTTCCTGTCTGTTATGGATCCCTGACCAGGATCGGCTTCCAGCATGACCTCTGGGACTGCAGCACTTGGGGACATTCTTGGTCTGGATTGTTAAACCAGGTAAGTGACCAACTCAGATAATCTTCTGTCAGATGATCGTGGTCACTTACCTGTGTTTCTCCCACTACAGAGTGTCTGAGATTGGGCGGTCCCCCCCCCCCGCCTGCAGTGTCCACGTTTATTTTATTTAAAGCTTAAGTGTGTAATTTTCTGCGACATCTAACGTCCAGACTGCAGACCGCAGCAACATGAACATCTCCCCCCCACCGCTTCTCCCCACCAACAGTACGGCGAGCGTTACGGGACAAAATGTCTTCCACGACGCCCGCATCACCTACTGTTAAAGAAAAATTATTATTTTTTAGACTTTATTACAGTTAATCTTATGGCATGTGTAAACACTCTCACTTGAACATATTTCTTAATTTTGAACAAGGCTGTGTTAATGATTTAAAACTACTAATGGGTAAGTATTCAAAGCACAGGAGGCCTTAAAATGAGTATCTCCTGGGGGGTGAATAACAATTAAGCCTGCAGGAGAGATTTCTGCTTGGTTTACAGAAGGTCAAAAGTCTTCCAGAATAAACAACCAGGGATGGTGAGGCCCCCCGCATTCCACAAGCTGTCTGTGAGAGCTTATCTTGTGTTTTATGACTTTAGGAATTCTAGATGCCAGGACAAGCTTTCCGCCTTTTCTTGTTAAAACAAAGAAGCAAATGACCCCAGATGTTTGCAGTAAATAAGGGGAAGCCCTAGCAGTGTCAGAGATGGCGTTTGGTTGGAGGACCGAGGGCCAGCCCCTTTTTGAATGGATTAGATACAAGAGGATAAAGCTTTCTAAATAGAAGAAAAAGATCAGATTTGCCCTTGCAACTCTCCAAAGATGTCTCTGTACTCTTTGCTTTCTTTCCTCCTATGTCAGGTAATGGAATGTATGTCTCTGTTGTTCTGCAGTTTCTGGTGTAGGTTTGTGCATTGTCTTATTTCTAAAGTGTATGCATTGTCTTATATTGGATTAAACTCTGTAATTCTGTGACGTCAACACGCAATGTTGGTTTTATTACCAAACGCAGCTCGCCGAGTGGACCTGGGGAAGGGAAGAATCAGAAGCCAATCTTTTTCCAAAGTTAACTATGTTAGAATATTTTCTTCCTTTACACTACCTTCTCAAGTGATGAGGTTTGTTTACATAGATAATTTTACAGATAGTATTTCTCAGGCATAATACTGCCATCTATTGTTCAGTACCGTCTCAGTTCATCTCTCTCAACTTGCCGTAGTTACTTTCGAGCGTAATGGGCGATCTCGCAATCACTAGTTTGTTGGCTCTGCGCTGCCGTAGCGCAAAGATGTCTGCCTCCATGGCTGCGAGACCCGCTCCTATGTAATTATAAATAACGAATTCTAAGGCAACGCAAATATTAAGGTTAAGAGGCTGAGCTCGTAGATGATGATAAATAACATAGTTATGTATAATATATTACATTTCTGACTGTATATCCCTGTAATTATTACATACTGTAGCTTTAATAAACGTTTGAACTATCCTACTGAGTGTCTCTCCTTGAATACTGGGTCCATCTGTCCCCGGTTCTTGACAGTATTAAAAAAAAACTTTAGAAACTGAAATTGAAAACAAAATTTGTAAAGCAAACAGCTTGAAAAGTAATGTCATTTTCTACCGGACAAATGGTAATTAATGCTATGACTAAAGGACAGTATCCATTTTCATGCTCATAATTGTAACCTTAAAGAGAAAAAAGAGACACTCTTAGACGGTATTTAAAAAAGGTATTTTCTGCAGAAGCTTGCTGCTTATGTTTGGTATCCAACACTATAACATGAACCACCCCAACTCCCACACTGTTGCCTTCTGATTGTGCAGTTGTTCTACCAGTACATAGCATCAGCCCACATGGCCCAAAGTGCAGTATTTGATTGATGGGTCAATCAAACGAACCATTGGGTCACATTCCAACAAACTCACCAGACCTACATCACATAATGGACCTATAAAGTATTGTTAAAGGAAGGATTAGAGACACCAAACCCAACAATGCAGATAAGCTGGCTGGAGGTAGCTGTTAAAGCCTCCTTAATAGAGCTACAGTACAGTCTTTTATGCCATGCTGCATCCATGCAGTGATTGATGACAAAAAATATAAATGAGAGGACAATGTCTCTCTTGCAGGACAAGACAAAAAACTGTTGCAAGCAAATTAATTTTTTTAAGTGAATACCTGAAGGGCCTTCAACCCTTTGTGTTGTAAAAGTAACTGGAAAAACTTACTGTGTATACAGTCCACAGAAGCAGAGCAAATGCTGTCACTCTAGGGTGAGATCTTCAAAAATTCCTACCATATATAAACATGGCTGAACATCTTTCTCACCAAGTCCTGTGGCGGGATACATTCTTCATGTTCAGGATCTCTTTGATAGACATCAGATCAGCAGGGATGATGGGCTGAAAATCGGAGTAGGAGGCTTCCTCATCACTAAAACATCCAGAATATGAGGGAGAAATAATAATGGTAAATTAACATGTATTTTGTATATTAGCAAATGACACAACAGATTAGAGCAATTCACTCTGCTATTTTCTGTCATTGCTGTTATTTATGTGCTAATTATGACATAGAGGGTTGAAAATAATCTGCAGTTTTATTTAAATTGACTGTTGCGCATTATAAAACCATTATTCCATGTGTGGAAAGAGAAAATTCATGACTCACTCACTTTCGAAACAGTTGAACAAATCACGCTCTAAGATACATTCTGCTTAAAGTTAGTAAATGTTATATAAATGAGGTTTTATATTACTAAGCCCTGTTTCAGAAGGCCTATTGTTCTCAGTAAAGATTTTTTTTCCTTCCTGCTGTTCTGCGGCAGTGACAGTGTGAAAGATGACACAAGCTGAACAATAAAAGCAGTCTAGAGTTTTGAGCAGATGAAAACTAAAACCATATTTGAAATTACACAATAGTGATATTGGTTAACATCTCATTGTTCTGCAACTCCTCCAGGTTTAGCCCTAAATTTGGGTTGTATGTTTGTAAGGGTTCATCTTTTTTATGCAGTAATCTAGAAATATTACATTGAATTTTTTGATTCAAATTCAGCTGCATTTTACATTAAATGTAGTGTTTTGTAAAAATGACCTTAACATGTTCAGTGCTTAAGGCATAACTAAATAAAACATATTATTTACGGTCTACACGTCATCAGCATTAATGGATTAGCAGTTATCCCCTATCTGCTATTTTTAGACATTTGTTTTGTTTCATTTTCCCACAACTTAAATTTTAGGTATTGTTAAGTTAGTGCACTAAGTGTTTTAGGGCCTCAATAATCTATATATATTTTTTTTTTTTTCAGTTGAACAGTTTTTACAAAGTCTTTTGAAATAAACCCCTGTTGCAGTTGTAAGAAACAGCTATGAAAAACTTATTTAACCCTTTATTTTAAATAAATTGATTTTACGCTTTGCTAAACCTGAACAAGGTGGATTTTATTTGTCAAAAACGAAACATTTTGTCTGTGTTCACATTTGTTTTCATAACATTTTATTTATTCATCTTAATTATTGTTGGTCTTTTTTCTAGATGAAACATTAACCTTGGGTTTAGTTAGATATAAAAGCACTCCAAGCACTACAACTAAAACTCGCACATCTATATCATGACTTTTAGAGTAATGTTAAAGATGTCAATAGTTGCTGCTGCCACCCTCTGGTATAAGGGGAGGGGGGCTGCTTGCTTCCTCCATAAATCCCTATCTCACAAAGTTAAAGTATCCTAAAAAAAAGTTCTGTATCCAGATTATGGTCTGAATCATCATCAAAACGTAATGGGTTGTTCCTTAGCATGAGGCACACCTCTCGTAAAAATTTAATTAAAGCTTTTCAAGTTATCTTGTACACAGACGGGCAGACAGACATACACAAACTCTTGTACAAACATAACCTCCTTAACGGAAGTAATAAACTAGGACTCAATGGTCATGTATGTGGTAATGAACTAAAACCTTCACAAACCTATGATACAAGGTTTCTGCACAATTATGTTTATATATCAAGCAAGTTTAGAACAAAGTTTGACTAAATGGCATGTTATTAATAAAATATTCCCTTACAGTACGTACCTAACTATTTTTGAGAGAGGCAAACAAAGTCATTACGATGGTGGTGAATAACCTCTTGAAGAAAAAGCGAGAATTATGCCATATTGAGTTATAGTATCAAATAATTCAATTTGAATATTCCAATGACAGTAATGGCTGCATGTGAGCAGAGTTTGGTGTGAGGAACTTGACCGCCCTGCAAAGAGAATCTAGTTCTAAAAACAAGCAGTTAATGTTTGTATGAAAGGGTATTTCACCTGGTGCATTACAGTACTGTATGTTCTGCAAAACAGAATGTCTTGTTTTACTTGAGTGTGAGAAATGTTATCACCATTATCAGCTGCTTCAGCTCTGTGACTGTTTCCCTTTTCTTCCCTGCTATTCAAACACACATGCCATTGTCTTCAGGGAGCTTTTGCAATCATGAGGAACTGTGGTTACGGTTGTAAGTTAACTCATATACCAAGAATGAGGGCTATAAACACAAGGGTTTTGAATCTTTTTGACATTTAATTTGCAGCAAAGTGGTGATAATTGATTAGTGCTTTTTTTGTACAAACATTTTTTTGTAGCTTTCCAGCTACTTCACTGCTCTGTTGTCAGCTGTTAATTGTTCTTGCATGTCTATCAGACTATCACCTTAACATGATGAAACAAACAAAAAATACCAGGCTCTTCACATGTCCATGAGAGGGATTAACTAAAAACACAACCAGTTGTTCTCTCCAACAATAGACTGTCTATTATGGGAGCCAAAGCATGTCCAGCAACATTAATCCTCTGCACTGTTTTCAGAGATGAGTGTTGGACCCCCATCTCTGCAAATGGACATATGGGTGCTTAAAGTTTCTGGGGTTTTTTTTTCATGGTTAAATAAGCACAATGTTGAAAGAAAGTATAGTAAAAATCCTCCTGTACTTACTAAAGAATACAAAGTTTATGTGCTAGATGTGTATATTTACTCAGGTGTATATCTAACCCCCATCTACCGTTGCTGCTAATACAGCATCTACCCTCAGGTATCATTTTACACAAGCCATCTTACGAATTGCAATGCAAATTGATTTGACTTCTCGTTTTCTTTTGTTTGCCAACACAGAAATTTCCCCATTTCATGGTTCTCTGAAAACAACTTCTGCTTTTCCTCCCTTTTTTTAACTCTCCCCTCTGAGAGTGGTGCAAAGCCTGGGGCCGGGCTATAGCCACAGTTAGATACACATAGAGGGAGACCCACAGAGCATGGCATATAAACACACAGGTGCATCGAGTAAAGCTGGCGTATGACTTTACCTGTGTACAAAAGGTTTAGGGATGTGAAGTCATGTGTTTATTAACAATAACTTGTTCCTAAAAACATTGACAGGAGGAAATACAAAGAGGAAAAAGTGACGGGTACAGGACAATCTGCACTCATTGTTGTTTTCATGTCAGCCTGCATTACAGAACAATTTGTAAAGCAATGAAAAGTATAGAGTACTCGTAAATTAAAATAAAATATAAATTTTGATAACATTTTTTTATTTAAACCTCTCACCCAGTTGTTGTAACATCAACATAAAATGTGTACTCCAAGTAAGGATGTTGTAGTGGAAAAATTACAAAGCATCTTCTCTACTTAAAAATTCATTTTTACATTAAGAGGAATATGTCCCCCAAGTTCAAGCTTAACTAAGCTTTATGGAATAATTACATATTTTTATCCACTCTAGGCAGGAACGTGGGTCCATTGCTCCTTTATTCTACTAGGGAGATTGTGGGCCCTTAGGTTAGCCTAACTTAATAACTTATAGAAGTAAAGGCTTTGAAAATGAAGCAAATTTGATTTAAGTGTCTCAGTGGGATCCTTCGAGTCCACAATTGTGCTGGATTTATAACATCTTTCTGATTATTAGCTAGATAATGTGTGGATAGGTTTACTATACAGTACCTGCACTGATATGAAGATCATCATGTCATTTGAAAGGAAGACTTTTCATTGTGCAGGGTGTAATTCATGATGAGAAAAACTGAGTAAGTTAAATACTGTCACAGTCAGATACTACATCCTTATGGAAACACAGAGGAAACTGTGGTATGCATAAATGCTGCCACTTTTTTGGCTTTGCATTTTTTATTTATTTTTTGCTGTGTTTTATTTTTTGTATTGAGTACAGTCAAACAAAAATGGTAGTAAAATGAATCCAACATTGGTTTACTTTTTTGTAGAACAAGTTTCTAATGCCTGATATCTAGTCTTACAATTTCCACTTCTTAAAGTTGCAGATTGGGCTCCGTAGGATTTGAACTTTTTGACACTAGATCTGTAACAAACTTGGTGTTAGAGGAATTGAACTTAAAATTTTAAAATAGTTTAAAATAACCATATATTTCCTTTACCCCATTTAAGAGCAAGGAGAGACACGTCATCCATCAATTGGCATAAATAGAAAACTTAGCTGACACTCAGAAAAATATTAAAAGTATCTGTAAAAGAAATATCTAACTGAGCTAAAATAAATTTCCCTGGACCAACGACAGTAGTTGGTAAAATGACTACTCAAGTTGTACGTAATAGTTCACTCATAGTATCTGATTTAATGTTTAAAAGTATGCAATTAGTCTAACACTTATGTGCCAATTCTGCTATTTTAAAGCATAAAATAAGGTAAACATTTTTAGAAATAGATATAAAAATTTTGGAAGAAGAAATAGTTGCCAAATACTGATTAATATAAACATATAAAACCAATCTTTATATTAAGTAATGCCTTTATGTTAGGAAAGGATGAAGAACTCATCAAATACATCTTAATTAGCCTCACAAGAGGCCTCACAAGATTATTACTCAGTTAAACATAAACATGTGGTGAGGTACAACGACTCCTAAAAGTAAGTTTCTTTTCCAAAAGTCAATCATGTAAATGTAACAAGTTACTACCAACCTTTGAGGATACATTAAGAATGACTACATATTTGCCCTGTTTTTTGTTTAATTTGACTTTACAGTAAATAATGTTTATTTTAGCAGATCTCACTATATCATTTTGAAACAGCATGCATTAACAAAACAAAATAAGAAATCCTGGAGGTAAACCGTTTATTTTGTCTAAGAATCATCTTGATACAAGCTTTTCACCTGGAAGTGAAGGTCCGCTTCTTTATCTGAGAAGAAAGCTGCATGCCTTGAGACATCTTGGATGACTGCTCCTCTTGCTCAAACTTTGTTACCATCTTGGTTTCCATGGTAAACCTCTGGTTATGGCACCTGTGATTGGATGGGAGATGTAGATGAGTGGGTGCCAGGTAGGATACAATGGGTATCTCACTAAGATGAATTTGAAAGTACTTTAGCTCACCAAAAAGTATCTGGGCTTTTCTTGCATCTTTATTTTAAATATGTTCAACTTTCTTTTCACCTAGCATAATCAGTATAGTATTCATCATTTCAGTATGAATCTATCCATCCATATCTTTTCTTTAATTTTGATGGTATTGTCTGTTTGGTTCAACAAATAGGAAAATATAGAGCTGCAAATCTCAAAGTTAAATCATAAAAATATCACAACTATTAACATTGTATTTAGATGTGTTGGCTGTATTTGCAATTGTCACTTATTTCCTCAAGAAACTTATTTAGTATTACTGTTTAAATTCCATCCATCCATCCAGCCATCCATCCATCCATCCATCCATCCATCCATCCATCCATCCATCCATCCATCCATCCATCCATCCATCCATCCATCCATCCATCCATCCATCCATCCATCCATCCATCCCACATCTTCCTCTGGGGCCAGGTTGCGGAGGGAGCAGTCTTAGCAGAGATTCCGGGACTTCCCCAACCCACACACACCTCCTCCAGCTGCTCTGGGGGGACCTCAAGGTGACCCCAGGCCAGCTCAGAGACATAGTCCTCCCAGCATGTCCTGGGCTTTCCACAAGACTTCCTAGGACGTGCCTGAAACAACTCCTGAGGTAGGCAACTAGACCCGGTCTTCCAATCCAGGGGTACTGTCCCCGACCGCCTTGCAGTGCTGTAGAGGCCGTTGAGGCCACAGTGGATGTCTTCTTTCTCTGAACTCCTTCCAGACCCGAGTTTTTGCCACTGCAACCGCACGAGCTGCAGCATGCTTGGTCGCTGATACCTCTAAACTGATTTCAGAGTCCTAGTAGCCAACATGGCCAGGTAGGTCTCCTTCTTCAGCTTGAAGGCATCTCTTACATCCGGGTGCCAACCGGGTTTGGGGATTGCCGCCATGCAGGCACCAGAGACCTTAAGCCAGGCATGCACTGTACGATTTTTTGCATTTTCGGTCCGATTTTTGCAGTCGTGCGAGAATTTTTCGATCTGGCCGCCTTTTAGCCTGATTGTGTGTTGTGCAGTGTAGAGGGGGTAACAAGGGGCAATCATCCACTCACGGCCACCTCCCAATCAGGAATCGTGAGAAAATTTAACATGTTTGAGATTCAGTCGGCCGTCATGGGCATATCGCTTAGTGGGCGTGTGCAAACAAGGATTCTTCTTCTTCCTCTCAAAAAAAAATACGGAAGCGTGGCAGGGGTGTGAGTGAAATGGTCACGTTTGCTCAGCCATGTCTTTGTCCAAATACGTTGTTGCCTTTTCTTTTTAGGGCTTTCACCAAACAAAATTGCACCAACTGCCAAGGCAGCATGTTTCACTCAAGTGAGCTTCATATTCCTCTTCTACTCATTTGGCTTGCGGACAGATGAGTCAGAGTAGCGCCATGTCACTGCGGAGCTGAGTCCAATGTGGTTTTTAGATATACAGTGTGAGCAGGTAGATCGCCTCAGAGGGTTGAGTTGCACAGTGTGAGAACATATATCGTGAGCTGTTAACATTTAAATCCTGCGGTTTTGTCATATAGTGTGAGCTTTGGCTGTGTGCAACGATTGAAAATATCACACAGTGTATGCCCGGCTTTACGTCCACAGCTACAAACGGCCGCATCAACAATGGAGTAGGAGAGCATGGACCAGTCCGAGAGCATGGACCAGTTTAGTTAAAGGCATATCCACCTCATTGTGCAGTTTTTTTTAAATGCTGCTTGAATAACATGCCAAAGGGTTGAAATGGGCATGGGTGGAAAAATACCAGTGTCATTGGAAAATAAGATTCAATTAAATTTTAGGTCGGAAAATAAGATTCAACTTATTTATAGTTATTTCCTTTTCTTCTCTTGTAATGTTATGATATGTCAGCTATTTAAAAAACAAAGTATTTTTTTACAAGCTAAATTGAAAAAAAAAAAAAAATAACAAGAAAAAAAATCTAATTGTGGTTCAAGCTTTGATGTCTTAAAAAGGTGTGTGGAGTCCCATGTTAAATGAATCAACCTTTTGTAGACTGCCGAGCCCCTAATAATCCATCAGCTAAGGTTTGGCATGCCGCTGCCCGCACCCTGCCTGTCATTAATCACAGGGCTGCTCTGGGGAAGAGAAAGCAGAATGTGCCCAACAAACAGAATCAGGTCGCGCCTGAGTGATGGCTTCATTCAACTATTCCAACAGAAAGCACCTGTGTTTGCAGCATAATGTGTTATTTCTTCTCATCTTCTTCAATTACTCTGTGGAAAACATTGTAAGGTTAGATAACAGGTGGGTCAGCTGGTTCCCATGTTTCTGTATTTTGGTTAGTTCTTTTATTTGTGACGGTGTGATACAAAGGAAGAGGTTGGTTTGAGTACAATCAAAGGCAGGCTGACATACTCTGTAGGTAGGCCTTGATACTGGGTGCCTGGAGGGAAACCGCAAAAGCACAGTATACTTTCTGAGTGAAGTTCTCCCCAAACTCATATTCAGCAATGTAGAAGCGGAGATATTTGGGTGACTCCTCTGTTCTGTTTGACAAAGTAAGCAATGTCTGAAAAAAGTGAGAACTTGCTTCACGTCATCCCTAGAGAGTAATTTAAAGCTATATCCACTGAGGCCATGAAAAGATTAGACCATTAAGAAGTTCAACAAGCTGAAGAAGCTGCACTCAAGAGAACTGCATGAGGAAAGAGGCTTCCCCCCACTTTGTGAAGACTGGCTAATTAACAGCCCTCTGCAGATGTGTTGACAGCGGAATGCAATTTGCAGATTTACAGTTTTTGTGGTATGAAATGCATTTATATCCTGTCTTTCTTGGAACAGCATACTGTTTTTAGTATTACGGTACTAGGAAAAGTAACCTGATGCAACTTACCCTTTCTTCAAAGGGAAAATAGATGAGGTCTTCTGGCTGTCAATGAATCGTAGGACAAAAATATCCCACTTCCTTTTCCAGCTGCCTGTCTAACTCACCTTAAAGATGTTCAGTCTTGGTGTCTTCCTTCTTTTCTATACCACTCACTGTCCTTGTGCCCCTCTCTGTCTCCTATGTCCGTTGTTTAAGCAATGTGGATGACCCTGAACACAAAGTGTCCTCTTGTGCCAAGTATGTGGACCACACAATGCTCCTTCATTCTTAAGTTGTTAAATATAGACTGATGACATCCTCCCCTACCCATAAATACCTTCAACCTAGGCTACACTGCTTCCTAAATTGACCCCCAAAGTCACAACTGCAGGCATATTCAGAGATTATTGCTGTTAGCCGTAGGGACTTAGAGATATCTCCTCAGACAAGCACCAAGGAGACAACGAGCAATGGCACAACTGCTTCCAGTGTAATACAAAAAGATAAAAAAAAAAAAAGGCTTACCTGTAAATCCCTCTCAACAAACTAGATATTGTTTTCATCTCTTTTGGCACAATCCCACCTTGGTGTGAATTTGGAAATACTAAACATAGGAGCAGACGGCTTGGATGGAGACTACAAAAAAGAGAAAAATTCTGAAACAGAGATGGTATGATAAAAGGCAAAAATGACAATTGGAAAAGGTCAAGCATTTTTCATTTAAAAATCAAGGATTGGCATTAGTATAGTGACAATGCTTGAAGTTCTACAATGGTTGTGTCTAAAATGTCTCACATGTTGAAATGTTAGCAAAAAACCCCCAAAAATAAGGAATATATTTTCAATTAAATTTGACAAAGTGCATTCAGGTCTCACCTTTCCTTTTCTTCCCAATATTCATTATGCTACTAGTCCTGCACAACATGGTTAAATGAAATCATTACAATATCTGTGCTTGTGACTTGCAGAATGGAAGGACTGCTGCTGTACTATTTGTTAGGAAGTTAAACAAGCATTCATACTCTGTGTTTCAGAGTTATATAAAAGGAGGCCTTGGGCTAGGTGTTGGTGTACGTGATTAGATTTCAGTCAGTATTCTTTATCACACCTTTTTTCAGTTCATGGCCTGTTAACAATGTTTTGTTTTTTAATTGTTTTTTTAATTTAAAGGTTTTAATTCTGTGTTATGGTTGCAAGATTTTTTTTCTTATCATGCATGAAGTGAACATTTTTGATTTGATAGATAACAACCAGACACACACCCGCTCTGCAAATTTAAGGTTACAGATGTTATTTTTAAGATTATTTTTAGGTGACACCGTTGACTTTGGAACATCAGCAAACAATACCAGCTCAGGTTGCTCCGTCCTTTCTTTTCGTCATTCACTGGCATGAGTGTTTGTCTAAAAATAACTAAGACAAAACAGCTGAGACACGCCTTTGCACTGTTTTGTTCTTTAAAAGAAGATTGGAGATTTTGACTCCTCATGTGATAATTTACCCCAGACTTGTTTTTTTTAATGTGTATTAACTAGAGAAAACCAGAATTTAGTTATCATCCATAAAAAGGTTTTTTTAGGGGCATCATTTGATCCTAACATAACTCATTTCTAAAAACAGTATAGTTTAACATAAAAAACATCCATGACCGCAAACCTTAGGAGAGATAAATCAGCTGTCCAGATATAGATCCAAAGATCCATTAGAATTTACGTCGCCAACATAATCCAAACAAACAGACTGACAGAAAGTACTTTTGCAGTCAGACATCCTTCATGGGAATTCAGGCATCTTACTGTATCTCTACAGTATGCATACACCATTTGCTTGTTAAATTATTGCTTTTGATTTTTTATTAAAAATTAATACATCAAATATGTTAGATAGTTCAAAACGGGTCAAAAAGTATAAGCAAAAACAAGTGTAGCAAAATACAATTTTATTAACTGAGATAAATCCATGCACCAAAAAACAGAAGGGGGAGAGGCAGGAGGCTTGATGCTGTGGTAAAGCATAAGGGACAAAAATTGAACCACTAAGGTTTGCCAGTGGAAATCTCAAGACTATTTTAGTAAAATCCCACTTCAGTAGCATCTGCAATTTCAGATACAATACCTGGTAACGAAGAGTTTGTTTTTCTCGTGAAACCTGGCCTCATACAGTAGTAACATCTCTGACTAAGCAACAAGGTGAACAGGCTAACATTCCTTTACGCAAACCTAAGACTTGTCTAACTGGATTGTCAAGAAACTATCTAGTCCTCACAAATGACGAAGTGATGAAAAAAAGTATGAAACCAGGCTCCTTCAAACTCTGTCTCAAGTGTAGCTTTGGTTTCTGCTTGTGCTATAGAGACTTTGGAGAATATTGAGGCAGATGTGACCAAAGAGCAAAGCCAGTTTGATGAAGAAGTATTTTGCCTTATATGCCCGTGATAAATGTTTTAAGTTTTTTTTTTTCTCCTGAGAGAGAAGTTATTAAATATTGGTTTAGATTATTATTCATTCCTGACAGAGATGGGAAGTAAGGAAGTACAAATACTTCGTTACTGTACTCAAGTAGATTTTTTTTTGATATTTTTACTTTACTTTACTACTTATTTTTATGGCGACTTTTTACTTCTACTCCTTACATTTTAAAAAATTGGCTCATTACTTCAGTTTTGAATAATTTCAATGGAGTTACTTTTCACGTCATCAATACCAAATTCAATCTAATTGGATGGGAATCTACGTTGCATTTGACGCACCACTACAAGATTAATCGACAGATTCGGCGGTATTCATTGGCGGCAAATCATTGCAGCTTGGTGGCAGTGGCATTAGCATAGTAGCATGGATGACGAGATGATTGAAAATGAACACAACGGAGATCTAGTCCTATTGGCAGACATCCATTTAAAATGTAGGCAACGACATGAAAAAAGTGGTTTCTACTCTTACTTTTATACTTAAAGTAACTTTACAAGCCTGTACTTTGTTACTTTTACTTGAGTAAAGAAGTTTAATTACTACTTCCACTTTTACCAGAGTATTTTTTAACACAAATATCTGTACTTTTACTCAAGTACGGAAAGTGAGTATTTTTGCCATCTCTGATTCCTGACATGACAGTATTAAGACATTATTAGAGGCTTAAGTCCACTCTGTTCTGGGTTTTAAATTCATTACCTCCCCTTGAATGTAAGTCCATGTTTGTTGACCTTTTAGATGAACAGTGGAATCTTTTCTTCATGTGTCCTGTCTTTTGCTGTGTCTTTTTGGTGCTTTTTATTTTGTTTAGCCAGTATACAGCCGTATGTCTAAACAACCTACAATTATGTGCATTGTATAGCTAAGCAAATTTTTTGCTTGACTCTTGGATTCCTGGGGCGAACAATTCTCTGACTTGTTGGGTGGAAAATGGACCGTAATATCGTTTCTCAGGTACTCAAGCCACACATGGATGAATTATATTCTTATGGCTAATTTCCATTTTCCTCTCCATTTGGGACATGGTTAGGGGGCTACTTGTAATGCTTTTAGTGTTACTTTGCTTTTCTTTGTTCATTTATACAGTGGTGTGAAAGTGTTTGTTCCCTTCCTGATAACTTATTTCTTTGCATTTCTATCATACTTGATTTTTTTTTTAAACAACAGAAAAAAAAACAGTCAATGACAGCACAACCTAAAACAGAACCCCCGCTATGCAAAAAGGAAAAGGCTTAAGGTTTTTATCCTATTTTCCAGAAGATATCTTGATGATCCAAGACTTTTGATACAATAGTTTGTGAAATTACAGAATTAACATGACTAGCAGACATTAGTTTCTTTAGGAACTAAACAAACTTAACAGGCTACTGCAAGGTTAGGAAAAATCATGTAATAAAATTTAATTGATTTTAATTTCTATTTTCCTTGAAACATGAAAAATGCTTATTCGTTTACTCCATGACATTTAAATATATATATATTTTTTTTATGATTACTGTTTATAATCCATGCCTTTGAGTAAAAAAACATGGTTACCACAAAGCACACAGTGCAAATTCAAAGGCTATGTTACATAGGAATAAAGACTTAATCTTCACTCTGTGCTTGTTTGAATCAATTAGGTCTCCTCCCAGGAAAACTGACCTTGTTGAGACTAAATATGATTTCATTTAACTTTTCTATCCTCTCACTAGCAATGAAGCCCAGAAATACCCTTAATGGATTCATAATTCTCAGAGCCCATCAGATTTTTTGTTGGCTAGCTTTGACAGCTGTTTCTATGCCTTTTGTCTAATCAAGGCCCATTAAGATTTTAATAGAATGCAAGACAGAAATAGGAGGGTAGCAAAGTGATTGCATGTACTGTAGACTTTAATTTATAAAATGATTTGGTTCGAGGGAGAAGTCAACCTCATCATTTATCTGTATAACCGGCTGCTGGTTAGGATTTATTTGTCGCTGAGAAAAATCCCCTTAACCTGATCTCCCTATTAAAATCTACCCATCTCTATTTCAGTCTGTGCTATGTCATCAGCGCTTTGATGGAATATGATATATGATGCTTAGTATAACTGGCAGCTACTATCTTAAATTTGTTTAATTAATTGGTATTAAAGGTGATAAAAAAAAATATTTTCCTTTTTTTTTTATATGTGGAAAAAGCTTTTTTTAATGTTTTCGAATGTTAGTAAAATTGCAAGGTTTTGTCCATTAAGGTTGTAGTCCATATGACTTAGATAAACATTATTGTCATTTTTGTACACACAGGGTGTATACAAAACAAAATTTTGTTCAGTACAGCTCTCAGGACATTTCCATTTCTAAAGTTCAGCAGTGATAGAATGTAAACATTAAAAGGCCTGGCCTGGTAAGGGAGCCTGCTGTTGTTCTGTTTACATCCGTCCGTAGCACTCTGCAGCTTTTTAAACGATCAAGAGTGGCTGTATTTTGAACGGCATACGTTGTGGAATTGTCGAGAGCTGCTCCTGGCCACAGCCGTAAGGCGCCACCATGATCACCGCTGCAACTGGGAATGGGTCTTTTAATGCCAGGAATGCAGACCAAACTCCTGCTCTGCTTCTACAGCAACTGGATTTCTCAGGATTTCTGGAGTACCCCCTACAGTGCACCATGAGAGGGATGGTTAATGCCTGTGGAGCTATTCCAGCGTTTCATGGGCAAGTTGAAAACCGCACTGCCCCCCTTGATGCTGAGATTCAACAATCAGCCAGACTCTCATCTTCAACACCTTGGCAAAAGCCTTCCGGCTGAGGCTGAGAAGTATGATCCTCATATAGTTGGGACACACCCCCTGGTTCCCCTCCTTATGGAGAATAATCACCATCCCAGTCTGTAAGTTGAGGGACACTGTCCCCAACCGCCATACAATAATGAAGAGGTGTATCAGCCATAAAAGCCCAACAAGATACAGAGACCTGAGGTATTAAGGGTGAGTCTAATACCATCATCCATAAAGTAACGCATTGCTTTACCTTAACAAACCAATTTATTTTGATTCATTCTTATGGCACTAGGCACAAAATATAGATATATTTAGCTATTTTTTAAATTATTTTTCACGTTTTCTTGTATTAAAAGCTTGGTGAATTATGATAAATTAGTTAAAATGTTTAGACATTTGATTTTTTATCAAATAATCACAAATATTTTATCTTAAATTATAGAGGTCAAACTGTTACAGATTTTTTCGAACTAGTTTTAAAAGTGTTTCCCCATAGCTCACAATACAATGGAACCATCCATCCATCCATCCATGGAGAGGCGAGGTGTACCAGGACTAGGCGCCACTCTGTCGCAGGGCTTATTTGGAACCACTGTATTGAATTACAAGGAAGTTTGCCTTGTTGTGTGTTCACGAAGTAGAACTTTTCCTTTCATTATCAAATCAACTAAGAGGGTTGTCAAACAAAAATAATCTTGGAAATAGAAGCAAAGGAATGCTTGAAACCACAGAAAGGGCACTTAGGCATGGTATCTTGTCTCAGGTAACATGGTCATTGGTATTGCTTACTATCATTTAATGGATGTCTTAAGACATTAACTTTATCACTCTAAATTCATATTATATAAACTATACATCTGAAAAAAACTACAGAGTGACAGGCTACAACTGCAAACATTTGCTATAATACAATGTTGTCTGAAAAGATTAAATAATGCATGATAAAAGAATTCTTGAAAGAATGCATCACAGCTCTGGCTTTTAATACGGAAGAAGAATAAAAAAAAAGCATTTCTTTGTTTTCCACCAGCCTCTATCTTATTCTGGTACTTCTCAAAATGATTTTATTCCTTTCTCAGAGATCGAACTTTGCTTCATCTTATCCAAATCCTGCTTGTGAAAGAAAGGGTTGAAGTGGCCATGCTCGGTCTATCAACAAGTTAATTGATCTGGGCCAGGCAAACACCCGCAGCAGTGATTGAAATTCTGTTTGTGTAGGTAAAACTAGGTTCATTCAAACAACCATTCCCTTTCCAGAGTTTGATAATGACTCCGGCATTCAAGAGGGTTTTCTCTAAAATCTCCTCTTTCATATCGCCATGACTGGGAGATTTGAAAGAAAAGATTGATGGGTTTTCTTCCAGACAAAAAGAATAGAACATGTCAGAGCCGGTAGCCAAAAAAGACTTTTTTTCCCTTTTCCCAAAGATAAGAAAAAGACACAGATTCAAAGGTCAGGGTAAAAAACAAAACAATTTGACTCTTCCTGCTGTTGTAAGACCCTTGGGACAGAAATATACCTTTCTATAAGAATTTCTCCTGTTTTCTTTGCAGTGGTTTGTTAGGATGATTAGTAACATCTCACATTTTGTTTGCCTTTTCCTCTTTAATGTTTCAGTCCTTTCTTTTTTAAATATTTTATCTTACCTAGTCCCTGCACATTAATTTACTTTCTTCCAAGTAAATACTTTCACACACTAAAATTATCTCTCCCACTATATTTCAGTATTAAACATATCTTTATTTCAACCGGCACTGTAAGACCTATCATTCAGTGTACTATAAGATTTTAAGTGAATAAAACTCAGTTCTTATCATTTTGTTAACACTTATCTTAAGGAGTTTAAACTGTTAGACAAAAAGCCCTTGATAATTTAATATAACTAAGTTGAGTCCAGGCAAAAAAGTTAAGTATTTGAAGGTGCCAGGACCTTTAAATTGTTCAAACGTTCAAATCTAGAGTGAGACCTAATTGGCTGAATATTTTCACAATGGGTGAGGCCGGTGGTGTTGCTGTAACAATCAAAAGTACAATCGATGGAATCTAAGACTTGTTTTTCTTTATCTGTAAAGAGGTCAAACTTGAAATATAAGATTTCTAATCTGGGTACTCGGTAGCAACTGAATACCAAACTAAACAATAGTTATTCAACCTGAAATTGGAGTAATGCTTTGACAAACTGTGGGGAAAAAAATCCCACCAATAAGGCTTGTTTATCCACTTTAAATATAGGAAACTTTTCTAGTTCGTCATGCTTGATGTTGTCATCCAAGGGAAAATTATATTAATCATAAATTTTAATTACTTGGTTCCAGTGAACTTTATGTAGTATGAAAATAACACCAGGATTGTCTTTGGACGGCTTTTAAAATCCTCATTGATTCCAAACCCTTATTTCTTAAAAGGATGATGAGTTGAACTTCATACCCTTTGGATAATTTTTCACAGTCCTTATCGTTAGACAAATGTAAGCACTTTTATGATGTTACACACTTAAAGTTTAATAGTCTGGAAATTCTTTTTACCCCAGGGAACTGAGAGATCATTTAACGACCTCCATGCTCTTGATACTTTAGCCTGTTACTTGGACACCTTATACACAAAGCTGTATTTATATTCTATTGTTGTCCACAACTTACAATCTAATTTATTTAAAGATAAGTTTTCATAACATAAGATCAGTTGCTGTTATTGTATTCACAGCGTAGACTCAATATTTAAACATCACAAAGTAAATATTCAGCAAAAATCCACATTACATTAATTTGCACAGGAACAGATATGCTGTACATTTGCATTGCTTTGTACATAGTTACTCATAACACTCTGAACACGCCTGACATTATGGCTTTACAGCTGTATATAAAAAGTGTACACTCAAGCTTTTAAAAGCCAAGCGTTTATTAGTGTGGCTTAAACTGTACCGTGACCCAACCTGGTAATATCATTTTATGACAGGACAGGTTTTTCCCTACCCCTAAAAGAACATCAAACAGTGATAATATAAAAATGAGTCTTTAACACTTTTTTTTAATTAGAGATAGATTTAGAAACTCATGTATGAGTTTCCTACATTAAAGATAATACTGAAATATGATGGGAAGAATGCGTTTAAACATGAATTCAACTTCCTTCCTCTTATTTTAAAATGCTAAAGGTGAATAAGTAAACTATTGCACAATGAGGTTTGTTTTCAGACCTAAAATTTAAGCCTAATGTTGCAATATAATGACAACCAGTTACATGCATTAAATTCAATGAATAAATAGCAGCATGTATCAAAGATGCACTAAGAAAAAGTCTACTGAGCGAAAACTGAATGCTTTTAGTCATAACCTACTCTGGATTGGTGATAAGCCAGTCACTAAAAATCAAGTGTTTTTGAACAGTTATTGTTTCCAACCTGAACTTTAACAGCAACTATTTTCATAGCAGGTAAAGTGATTTTTTTATGACATCAGAGGAAACCTCAGACATGTAAGAAGCATTTAAAAAGATGTTTTCATACAGCTATGTGACCTTTCAGCGCGTTATATTTCAACTGATAACTGGTAGCTGAATGTATTACAGAAATTTTTATTTTAAGAGTCCAATTTAAATTAAAAATTTAGAATCAGATTATTTTGGACATATAGTAAGGAAAGAATTTTCTTGCCAGACATACTGTATGCAAGGAGACTTTGCATTTTACCATGTCAACTGAGCTTGTTGCACTATTTGCTTTCATTTAATGCAAGAGAACACACAATGCTACCTCCTTAATGATGTCCTTTTTGTTTCAGTTTTACTATCTATGATCCATTAGGACAAAATGATGTCCTAATATTCATGTATATATTTAACAATCTAACAAATTAAACCACAACTCTCAAATGGGGGAACAAGTAGTTTGTGTAAAAATGGGCAATAATATGAGATGATTTTTACCTAATATTTGGATTGGAATTGTTACACATCACCAAACAGCTTTGCAAACACTTAGTTAATTGAGAAATTGTTTAAATGCTAAATATACTGAATGTTAAAGTAGGGTTTTATAATTTTCAAACATGGCAAAACAGGCATCGAACCTGATATGAATCTAAGTTAGTAAATTATTAATAATTCATCAAATCCATTAATGTATCTATTTATGTAGTTTTGGTGATGGCTCCCACTTATATTCATGAACACTGCATTATTTTTTTTGCCATTACTTGTTTATCTTGTGATTTGTTGTTCACCTGTTATATACAAAATAAGGGGAAACACAGCAAAGCATAACTTCTCACATAAAGACATGAGCATTTACATACAGCACAAGATTACTTCCACATCTGCCTGTACCTAACCATCAGCATTTCTGGCTTTGAAAAGTCAGATATTAGTCCTGCGGTCAAATTTGGCTTTCTCTTGTTTTGGCAAAAAAAAAAAAAAATGGAACCAAAAAATGCTCCTCATGGATATTGTTGTGAAAGGCTTTTTTAGCCTTGAGTATAAACTGGACAAATCTTGGATTTGAATATTCCGTCTGTTACAGAACCTTTTTAATTTCCTCTTTGAAGCTAGCCTTCACAGATCTTAATGTCATCATCAGTTTGTCTTTTTGTCAACCTATAGTTTTGAATATCAGTGAATGTCAGTGAGTCCAGTTAGGAATGCAGACAACCCGTTTTGCTTGTATCCTGAATGACAAATGGCATCAACAGGTTGCATGGTCTGGCATTCTTGCTGTAAACTAGGATGCATGGTTTCAGAAGAGGAATAAATAGGGTTGCAGAATGGGCTGGTAGGTGTATTTAAATTGCTGTCATAACAGCCAGAATCTCTCCCATCGCTGTATTGTCTTTCTAAAGGTGTAAACATGGGCTCGTTCTGGAATATGACATCTTCCAAAAGAGGTTTCCTCTCTGTGTTTATTTGCAATTCTATGCCACAAGGGCTGGTCTGTAATTGAAATGCAGATAGAGCCAACATAAGTTGTCCATCAATGTTTCTTACAGCATTTATCACCAGCGGCTGCTGCTCTGGTGTACCCTCACTTCCATTAAAGTTCGGCAGTTGTGGTGCACCATATGAGGAAGTTTGGGGAATAATTCCTCCTTTCTCCTTTTTTTCTTCTTGACCGCAGGGCAAAGTAGCCTGGATCGTTTGTCTCTTCGCAATGTGATCCCGCTTAAGGTTTTCTTCATTCGCTTCAACCAGGGTCTGAACTGCAACAGCACCATAACTCCCAGAAGACTCTGCACTTGTTTCAGGGTTGCACTGGAAGATGTGCTCTGGGTCAACCTGAGGAGAATATCCACACGGCAAATCACATGAAGCACGGCAAATCTGCAGGTTTATCTTCTTCTGGTCTTGGATCTGGTTTTGGACCCAGTGTATGCCAAAAGAAACTTCAGAAATTCTGAGATTCTTGTCTTGATGCTGCAAAACTTTGCATTGCTTGGTGGGGATTACCTGTTTTGAATATAGCGAGAAAAGCTTTATTAATTGCAATAAAATCTTTACATAAAGAAAAAAATGTATATGCATAAAGTATTCACAGTAGAAAGCACCTTGATAACCAGGTCAGTCTCTCTTTTACGTAATTAAACAATATAACCTGTCTGTGATTATGTCTCAAGGGCCTGGTATTCCCGTAACAAAATATTTCCTGGTTGCATTAAGGAAGCACTTAGACAACAGTATGGACTTACCAATGCCTCTGGAATGCTCCTTATGTTTCCATCCTTTACATAGTTCCAAATACAAACAGCTGATAGTATGATAATGGCTACCAGAACACCAATACTTAGAAGAACCCACTGTAAAGGTATCTGATGGTTATCTAAAGGAAGAGAAAGTTTTTGTTACTGCCATTTCAGAGGAAAAAACGTTGTGGCTCCAAAGTAAGATTCCTACAGGTTCTTTTCATTTTAAACCTGTGGGTGGGGAAAAAAAATCCCAGTATGCCTCACATAAGTATTTATATATACTTAAGGAAATAGCGTCATTGTTATCTGACAGGTCTTGCATAAGTTACAGAAACATACAGATAATTCCCACCATAATAGAAGAAATAGATTTGTATAGATCTTAAAAATTGTAGGCTTAAAAAGGCACTTTTGTGATACTAAAAAAATGATTCCTATGTGAATATCAGACTCATAACCAACATCCTACTTTAAAACAATGCACCTGCTCTCACAGTAGCTGCTATCATGCTACTGTCATTGAAAGCTAATATGTAATGTGAATTGCTGAGGTTTGCTAAAGATGCATTTAAAGCAGTGTAATTCATTACTGAATACTATTATTTTCAAGTGGGTGCAATCACTTGAGAAAATGGGCTCAAACTGATTAAAGTAACATTTGGGGAAAAAAATCATGCATTATTTCCAGAGCAGCTGATACTCTAAAGATATTAGGACATTGTTGCCTCTATTCATGTCTCTCTTACTAGCTCTTACATGTAGCTCTTACTTTCATCACATAAAAAAAAGAAATTTTTGAATTTATAAGTAAATCAAACCAATTATTTTTTGTGTTGAATTTATTAAAACATTTATCATGATTCTGAGTATTCATCCCTGTACATAGGGAACTAATAATCATTATATTGCTCACCTGGCAGAGTAACACAGAATGGTGCTTTCTCACTGGGTATCCTACCCCATTCTGGAGTCGGTAAATAAACCACATGGCCGCAGTATTTAGACTGATTGTACTTTAAGATAACTTCAAATTGGCCAGTTTTGTTTGTGATGACCTGGGGATACAGCAGAAATAGTGCATAAAGGTTAATTTCGTTCATACAGGCAGAATACGTCAATTTGACCTCACATTCTTGGATAGTATGGTGTTTAATTCAAATATAAATATCACAACAGATGCAAGACAATACGGTCATATCTGAGAATCCTATAGTACAGATATAAGCTTTTCCAAACTAAAAATGTAATCTCGTTGTAATACAGACCGTTTAAAATGCTAGAAAAAAATGTTTCAGCGATCCCTTAATGTATTTGAAAATCATTCAATGGTAGAGGTCCATGAAGAGAAATTTATTAACTCTTTCGTTGTGAATATTCTTTTTTATGTACAATTATAGTGATACACTGTTGGAATTTTGTTAAAGCGTCTGCATATAATAAAAACTGACACCAAAGAACAAAAAGCTAATATGCTTCTTTAAATTCAATAGCCATTTTATACCTAAGTTTCTAACTTTAGACTCACCTTGAATTCATTCCGTTTAAAATTATGGGAAATGTTCTTTTTAAAGTGCAACAATTTTATTATAGTTTTTTTCTTAATGTCAACTAACCTGTGCAGCCCATTCTGGAGTGGTTATTGTTAAGATGTACTCTGGCACAGCTTTTATTAAGCCCTTTTTGCTAGAGGTGATGATATCTGCAATCGAGACTCCATTAGGTCCAAGTGGCAGGGTGACATTGACATGCAGGGTGGATGGTGTTGTGTGTAAAGACAAATGTGGTGGACCAAGAACAGCTATAGAAACAAAATGAAAGTATTAAGGGAATGTTGTCAGAGTACATACTGGGTAAAAGTACACAAGGAGATGACGTGTTAAGCGATACTTACTCTCTCTAAAAGGTGTAAAGGACTTGGTGATGCCCATGCAGGTCCCATTAACCATTACTTTAGCCCTATAGTGAACATCATAGACCGATGGGGTTTCTGCGGTCAGGTCACACGACAGGTGGGTGATGTTTTGACACTCATGCTTTATCCAATACTGCTCCTCATCATCCCTGTAATCAACACAGCAGGCAGCATAGTCACTCTTTTGTACATTCATGATTGTATTTCTGACTTCTATCCATAACTATTCAGGATTATTGATTGACAGAATATGCAATACAATCCAGTCTATCTTCATGAATGAATTTGTATATTTTGAGGTCTTTGATGTATTGCGAAACAAAACTAATGAATTTATTAGGTTCAAATTTTGAACTTACCAACTCATAACCACCATGTAAAGACAAACAAACCCAGGTAATATCCATAAGAATGTAACTACTAAATCAGATTTAGATTTAGAAAAACTTTATTTTCATTCTGTATACACCGAGTGTGAAATGAACATTACTACAGTAGTATAAAGTGCAGCAGTGATATGAATGTAAACAGTGTAGCATAAAAGAAAACCAGTTTAAAAAAATAATGGTGCAAAAAGGGCATTGATATTGAAAAGCTCACTGCAGTGCAAAATAAATATGGTGCAAAATGCAGTAGAACATTGAGTTGTGTGTTTATAAAAGGCTTATAAAAGACACAAAACAGACTTAAAATGGACGTCAGACTTTTGCTCAGAGTTTTTGAAGACTTTTTTGACACTTATCCAGGAGTCTTTGTTAGTTCCGATATTGACAAAGACTCCTAGATAGGTGTTGAAATGTCTTAAAAAAAACTGAGAGAAAAGTCAGGTTTTTTTCCAGGTTTATACCTGTTTTGCGGTTGTCATCACCCAGATGACTGAGAATTTACACAGGCATGTTGCAGTTCTAAATGAGCCAAATAGAATCATATACACAGACAAAAAATATACTACCTACATTTGAATTTGATACTACTGTATATCTAACTAAATGTATTCAAATGCAGTATATTATGCGACATAGAACAAACAGATCTTCATTGCAAGTCCTACTGACCACATGGAGTTATTGGCTTTGCAGCACTTTCTTGTCCAGAGGAAGCATGGCTACAGTCAACATACTGCTGCACAACACAGGGAATATATTCCACCATATTCTTTAGATTAGTAAATAAATTCTATGATGAGTTTAGCTCTATGTTCTATAGTTCTATTTGAATCTGTATGATTGATAGCACAACATAGATTACATTCTTTAAAAGCTGTGCAGCATGTGTGTTTATCATGTTCACTTGGAATGGATGTTTGGGAGTAAAGAATAAAAACAGACTGTATTAGACCAATAAGATTATTGGCTTTAAGCAAAGGATGCAGGTTGGTTCATACTAAAAACAAACTGTGGATGTATCAGGTCATCCTCCTGTTATTGGAATTTGTCAATCTCCCCCCTGGAAGAACATTTAGAGTAGCAATAGCAACCAAGAGCATCTATAAGAACTCTTTCATTCCATCAGCAATATTGTTGCTAAAGTGTTGACCATTAGCTAGATATCATGTCTGTTCTGTGTTTATTATTTCCTTATGCTTTCTCATTTAATGTGTTTCTTCTATCGATTTCTTCTTAACCATCATATGATGCCAAAGACCAAGTGAGAATAAAGATGAACAACCTAAATTCTACATCAGACCCAAACATCAGTTATGGTAAGTAACCACCCAAAAAATGTTCATCTTAATGGAAAAATGTGCCATTAAGATATAGCTGAAAAGATATTTCCAGTTTGAGTCCATTTGTAGAGAAATTGTCAAACAAATTGTAGCCGAAGCTCATAGAGACCAACAGACAATATCAAGTCCGGATGCACTGAGCTGCCTTAGACCATGCAATGACATATAGCAACCAGAATGTTTTTCCCTTTTGAACTTTGTTTCTCTTAGATGGGAAAATAAGTAAAACATAAAAATAAAAAAAATCAACCTTGTTTTTAATATAAAGCTTCACCAACAATTTGAGACTATTGACTTTACCAGCTGTAACTTGGCTGTGAAAGCCAATGTTATATCTATTACTGGATATCTCTGTCATACAGTACAGTAAGATGAAAACTGTATCTTCAGAAACTTTAGACTAATGATCAAACTTGTCATCAGAGTTTTAATCTTACCTCCAGTATTGCACACTGTAGAGCACCTTTTGGCCTGGAAAAGAAGGCTGTAGAGGATCCCAGTGAAGAACATTGTAAAAGTTTTTGGAGATAAATTTCACACTGCCATCTCCAGTTGCCAGGCATGCTATTGGAGAAAGAGAGTAACAATATTTCTGCTTATTGACTTTTACTCAATATTTCAAATTTACTCAATGAAAAAGTTATTGTTTCATTTCTTTAGAAAGGTTTTTAAAAATGCTATTAGACAATGTAAAAATGTCAAATTTTAACATGCATTAAAAATAATTCTAATTTTGAGATATTAAAAGCCCTTGAAACCCTAAATGACTCAGAGCCCAGAGTAAAATATCACACTCTGGATTATGGACATTATAGAACACATTGTTGGAGGTGGACTTTGTCTCTGCTGATAGCTTAAACCAGAAGCTTCCGTTTATAAACAGTACCTAAAACCTATTGTACAATGCAGTCCTGATATTTCAAGATAGGCACTTTTTGCAAAAAAATCTCTCCATAGAAATGATTCTTCATTATGTCAAACTTAATTTTTTAGTGGTTTATTTGCCTAAACTAGAATACCAGAGATAACATTGAGACCTATTTCAATCATAGTTGTTGAAGAAAGAATAAACAGAAATGACACCAAACTAAGAGTACTTTAAAGTGGCCATGTCAGTCTGACATTTGCGTTAAACTCAACCAACAAGACTGTGTCTCAGTTCTCACACTTTTTTTCGCTTCAAATGAAACAAGTTTAGTTTTTGACTTGAGAAGATATCAGTTACCCTAAAATATTACCCTAATGGATAGTTAATCTAGTGACTGCTTCATTTAATATCCACAAATAAAACATTAGAGCCATTCTAGTGTATTTTACTCACCATAGCAGAACAGGAGAAGGATCATGACGTTCACAGACCACATTTTCTTCTAAATTGTATAGAAATAGGATTAGATTATTTTAAATCCACTCCTGTGTATTTATTTCTGAATTACATTGATAATCTAATTTATTAAATGATCCTCCAGTTAAGAATAAAAATATCTACAGTTTTATCAGAGCAACCTTCTGCTTCAGCTAATCAACCATCTCTGAAGGACTTTGGACAGGAGTGGCCTTACTCATGTGTTAAGGTGTACTTGGTTTTCATTTTATCACCTGGTTCCTGTTTTTCTGCTTATGAGCACCACCCACCATGCCTTCACCTCAGAATATGAACTTCCCTTTACTCCTCCTTTCTCCCTGATTTATCGTGAGTCTCCTCCTCCCTCTGTATATCAGGTTCTTTCAGTTTTTTTCATGTTAACTGGAAATGATCACACCTTGAAAAAAGGAAATACTGGACTAATAACACATGATGGCCCAAGGTGTGTTCTTTTTCAGAGATTAAAGTAATTAACAACGCGTCATCAAAAATTATCTTTGCACAGAGCAGGCAGTATGTGTTACAAGATTGCAGCAAGCTATTTCAACACTGTTTTGTCTTGCAAAAAACAAAAGCAATGAGTATATCATACAGTTTAGTCAGAGCTAAAATGTTTTGCCCTTTTAACTATTTATTTACAAGACAAAAAAAACTCAATGGTTGTAAAGAATTATTTAAATTCAGTTAAAATGAAAAATACTCTATTAATCCCAAAGGGAAATTAAATGTTACAGTAACTTATAGGTTCTTTTTAAACAGGTGTTGTAGAGGTTGATAGCTGTATTCATTTTATAATTACAGTGAAACACTGATTAATAAGCACATTAATAGCGAATTTTTAAAACCTTCATTTGTTACTTTTTTTGAGAAAAAACAAACATTTCACCCAGAGGTAAAATGTATATTTATGTGTATTTATATGCCTTATAGGCATATTCACTACACACTTTAGCTGCACACTTTTTTTTTTATTGATTGTAAATATTTAAATAAAAGAAAAAGTCTAAAGCCAAAAACCTAAACATAACCAAAAAGAAAATAGGCAAGAAATAGTTTATAGATATTAAACAATACAACAGCATTATGAAACTATATGTGCCTCCTGCCGTACAGGATTCGTTTTTTTTGTTTTTCTTTAATTTTTTACTTTTGCAACACTTAAATGCGTCACATAAAATTCTAATTTCATTCTGAGTAAATAAAAACATGTTTAAAAAAAAAGCTTTATTTACTAGTGGATAACTGCCATCAAAAAGCAACTTGCCCCTATCCAAAACATACTTATCTTTCATGTTAAATCATTGTTAACTAACCATATTTTCTAAACGTTAGGGTTCACTTTAAGTTTTCATAATCAGTCCTTATTACTGATTGAACTGAAGAAATACAAAATTTCTCTAAAAGAGACATTTCTTTTCTGACCACAGAACAAACAGTTCAAATATAAAAACGGATGAGGCAACGTTATTGCAAAAATGGGATCCATGCAAGGGAAGTCCAAGTTGAGAAAAATATTAGAATATTAGAATTTTAAGTAAAAAAGATTTGGGTCCAGTTATATAACAAAACTAACAAACCTTTCCTTTACCTGCCACTAAATGGAATTAAAACCTGAGTTCACATAAACTACATCCTGTTTCTGCTCGTTCATCTGTCGCAAACCATGCTCTGCAACACTTCACACTGGATGCATGCAGGATCTGTTCAGGCAATCAACAACAGCCAAGACTACTGAACTCCCAATATGATGGCGTCTCTATGGAGTAGTAGTAATGCTCTGCTGTAGTTAATGGAACTACTGCAATTAATAGCAGTTGTGATGAAAAATCGACTTTCTACCAGAATGTGATGAAGATTACTTCCTTACAAACTTTGTCTCTGAAATTGTAAATTTCTCTACATTTACTGTACACAGTGTCACGTTCGGCTGACAGATATAGACTCCTCCCATAGTACCAAAAACGTTTGCGTCATCTTTCTAATGTCCCCCACAAATACAGATAGTTACAACAAATTAATTTCTACTCTCTGCTTGATTTAAGTATTTTATAAAAGCTAAAACATGAAAAAATCCTTTTGCGAACCATAACTGTAGAGTTGGCACAATGGATACAGAGTTACACTGGAAAAACGATCTAGAAATAAATAAAAATCTCTTAAATTAAGTGTATTTATCCTTAATTTGAGAAGGTAAATGAGGTAGTTTGCCAATGGAATGAGTAATTTTGCTCTTAAAATAAGATATTTAGATATTATGCACTTGAAATAGGACAATCCAACTGTTTTTTTTTCCTCCAAATTTAAAGTGTAAATTGTCTTGTTCCTTTGGCAAAATTTCTATTTTACCTCCTTAATCCAAAAAAAAAGGCTCTTATTTTAAGAAAAAATTACTGATCTAGATCTTGATTTTTTCCAGTGTACTTGCTTTGTTTTGTTAATGATTGACAGTGAAGTTATATGTGCTATCCTTCTCTCTTCTATTTAAGTTTAAAAACCACTTAAAATGCAATCCAACCAGGAATTGCTGTCTTGAGTTTTCTTTACACTTTAGTGCTCTTTTGACCAAAGCTTTATTTGTTTTTTTTGCCAAATTGGACACAAAGATCACGCTGACAGGAAAGTATGGTTTGATATTGCATGGTACAAACAGGTGAGGTGATATGATATACTTTCATGGACTCTTGTGCTTCAGTGAATCATCGTCGTCAGTGAATTGCCCCTTTTCTCTGTCACAGCAAATCAAATTTATCTTGCTTCTCTGACTTCTCCAACCTCCCTGAGACAAAAAGAAAATGGAAAATCTTTGATCTAACTCAGTGAACAGAGAATGAACAAGACACAGTCTTATTCTCTATCAAAGTGAAAAAAAAATACAGGGTTTTTTTATGTCTGAAATCTGATCCATCTTGGTTAGGATCAAGTAAGCATCAGTTTGGAATAATTTATATCTGTTATATATATTTGTTATTGTCTATATGCAAGACAGCTCAGCTTCAATTACCATTCAATGTTCAACAAGAACAACAACAACAACACTTTCATGAACAATTCATGTGTCGCTGTCTCTCTTCATTGGGTCGGGCTAAAGAGTTGTTTATTTATGAGAAATCTGAATTGTCTCTCCTGTCACCTCTCCAGCTTTTTCTGGAGGATTTCAGACCAGATGTTTACATACACTTTACACCCCACACATTTTTATTGCTTACATAAATATTGGGGTGAAAACATAATAGTCAGTTCACCAAAGTCTTTCAGAACCCATGCATACTTGACCGATGAGTAGCTCTGATGAGAGCAAGAGTATGCATATGTTAAAGTGAGGTTTTAAATGGAGTAATTCCGGAAAGGTTGGTGCAGGAAAAAAGCAAACAGATGAACAACAAAGATAACATGCAAACAAAATGAGGAGGAACATTGCAAAGATACAATCGTTAAATACACACAGTCCTTTAAAAGACAATGAGGGGAATTCAGTTTTATATATATGTTTTGACTTTGCTGCTTATGTACTTCCTTTAATAAGTAACCATTGTCCTGAAACACGATTTCTGGCTAAATTTCTCTGCTGTGACAAAAAAGTGGAAAAAAAAGAATCAATATGTAAACTGTCTGTGACACATGTGGAAGCAAATTTAATAATTTAAATAGACTATAGTATATGCGCAGATACATGTTTTGAACAGCAATATTAGGATGCAGACGAAGTATTTCCAACAACATGCCTCTTGTGGCCACAATTTGATGTTTTGAAATTTGCCCTTTGCAAAGATTGATGGGAAATGATTTTTATGTAAAACTCATTTACAACGTGTCTTGTGGCTAAGACCCTTGATTTCATTGCTAACGTCATTTGCGTTATGCATGCTTGACCTTTTGCCATGGCATTATCCAGAGTCATCAATTAACATCAGACTATTAAAATTGCAGCTGGAGGTGGAGCTGTTTTTGTGCTCAAGTCACAAGGTGAACTGATGGTGTAGCATGGATAGATAGATAAGAGAATATTACATCAATGAAACATTACAATAATAGGTGGCTTCAGCAAGCAGACATATTCTAGAAAATATATATATTTGTTGATTTGTTTAGGTCATTATTGTTTTTTGCATTACTGTGAAGGTTGATAATTTTTGTAGGGACGTTTGTTTTTAGGCGATTTTTTTTGTAGCATTCACTCTGCCCTTTAAACTAAATAGAGCTATGTTTCCTATGCAATATTTGAGGACTTGATTCCCATTCAAATTAGTTTTATGTTGATTTTACAATTCTTCTTCTTTGGAAATCCCTGCATATTTGTGTTTTGGATTATATTTTTACTATCTATGAGTCTTCAAATTATACTGAGGAGTGTTGGCCTAGTGGTTAGAGCAGTGCACTTGTGTTTTGAGAAGGTTGCAAGTACCCTGTTCGATCCCCACAGCTTGCACTCTGGGTCTTTGATCAAGACCCTTTACCCCCAAACTGCTCCCCGGGCGCCACACAATGGCAGCCCACTGCAGAGGTACATTTCTCCAGTGTGAGATCAAAAAGTTGATTAATATTATTACACTGCTCAAAAAATAAAGACAACGTAAATGCAATATAACTTCAATTAAGTCAAATTTCTGTGTGATCAAACCCTCAACTTTGGAAACAACACTGACAGTGAGTTCCACATGCTGTTGTGCAAATTTAATTGACAACAAGTGGAGATTATTGGCAGGACAATGCTAGACCTCATGTGGCTGGAGTGTGTCAGAAGTTCTTGCAAGAGGAAGGCATTGAAGCTAAGGACTGACCCACCCGTACCCCCGACTGGAATCAAATTGAGCAGATCTGGGACATCATGACTTGTCTTAAATTTAAGTTCGTATTTTTTAAGTTACACATTTGAACACTTTACTTTGTTCGAAGACATTTCGTTTCCCATTCAGGAAGCTTTTTCAATTAAAAATGTCAGAATTATTAGATTAGATTAGATGAGCTTTATTGATCTCACAGTGGAGAAATTCACTGGTCACATATTGGCATAGTAATTAAAGAAGGTGCAAACAAGGAGAAAAAATGTGCATAAAGAATATATAATATATATACAGTATATCAATGTATATACAGTATATCAAGATAAATAAGGATTAAGGTGCAATTGTACATGTATCACACACAATGAAAAACAAAATAAAAATAAGAAAAAATAAATAAATAAAAAATACAAGGGAGTAGCACA